AAATGAATGGCAATTCTTTGCCTTCAGGTAGAAGTAGACTCAGTCTTCTATTTCAGAGTATGGTGGGGTCCAAGAGTCCAGAAGACTTAGAGGCATGTGAATCTGAATCACTTCCCAGTGAGATTGTGTCCAAAGGTTAAGTGAGGCAAGAGGGGAAATGGTCCATGAGCACATCCGGGGCTTGACCAATAATCTCTTTAATGGACAAAGGAGTTTTTATTTGTTGTTGTGTAGAGTTGTTTTTTTTTTAAAGTACTTTCTCTTAAACTTACAAAGTTAATATTCATGAGGTTTGTTAGAGTCCTCATGGATCAACCATAGCTAACTAAATATTGAGTGGTCTTCCTCTGAGGCATATTTGGGGGAGCCAGATCAGAGATGTAGGCTTCTAAGGAGCCAGCCCACACTGTTCTTTCTTTAGTGCAGTTGTAGTGGGTTATCTGATTCTGGAAATCAGAAAGGGCATGGGGCAAGATCCCACTTGATATCCCAACTTACTGAAGTAAAAAGAAAGGTTCCAAGTATGACAATTCTCTCTTAGTGGAATCCCCAAGATTCCTCTAATTACATAATTTTCAGAGTCCCACCTATAGTTCTCTGGACCATTACCATACTACTAATTTGGATCAGGCCACCTCCATGGGAGCCCCCTATCCTTATATGTTACTATCTAAAGTTAGAGTCCTTAAGCCTGATGTTGATCTACATATAAAAGGTAATGACTTCTAATAGGAGAATTCAGAGAAATGTTCAAGGAAACATCTTTCATGAAAAAACTTTACCCCTTGCCTTGGATAGCTCATTTTATTTGGTGTTAGCAATCCAGCAGTAAAATTTTATGGTAAATGGAGTCCCTGGAGAAAATGGAACACTGAGATGTAACTAGAATGAATTCATACATCTGAAATCTCTCCAGACTAGGACCGGAGGAGCCTACAGCTCAAGGGCACGAATGGTAGTAAACACCATGACCAGCATTACTCATTACTCAGGCAGTCTGTTGTTACCTCAGTGAGCTCCTTTGTAACATGCTGGTGAATCCCATAGCCAGGCTGCAGGCACTGGGTTTCTACAAAGCAAAGCTCAGAATATTTCCAAGTGATACAAATAACTATAGATATCCCCCATCTTATAGATTATCTATTAAAAAAAAAGAGGATGATTTTATTCTATATAATTAGTATCTGTTCTTTAGACAGAAAAAAAATAGAGTTAATAACTAATATATTAGCTTGGTGTTCCTATTCTTTTGGCAACCCTGAGATTCCTTTTTCTGATACCTTTTTATTAAGGGCTTTTCTGAGCCATGATTTAGTCTCCTGAATGTGTAGACCTATTATACAGTAGTACCTTGAGCAAAGTGACTGCTATAGGTAGTCGAAGCAGTTATGTCCCTTATAATTAATAAACTTATGAATTCACACTGCCCATTTTTACTCAAAATCTTGTCGATCTGGTTAATACTGGTTTTCATTCAGCAACTATTTATTGAGTATCTGCTGTGTGGCAGGCACCAGGCTAGTGACTGGGGATGGAGTAGTAAGAAAGGCAAAGTCCTTTAATTACAGTCTGATGATTATCGTGGGCCTGATTAACCCTGACTCAACTGATACAATCTAATTCCTGAGCCTGTTAAACTGTAGGGTATATTGTGGGTTGAAGAGTCACTCAGTGTAGTCTTATCTGAAATAGCCAGGCAGTTCTGCCCTTAATTATAACCCTTGGATCTGAGAAAAGAGAAGGGAAGGAGGGAGGGAGGGAAAGAGGAAAGACACAAGAATTATCAGCTGAGGTACTGATGTCATTCACAGTAGTGGGGAAATGGCTGAGGCTGAAGGCAGGCCCACAGCACGAGAGTGGCTAAGTCACAGTCATTACCCATTCCTCTCAGATCCCCCCAAAGCCAGAATAATCCCTAAAGAGGAAAGAAGCAAGAAGGTGGACTACATGAAAAGTTCTCTATAATGGATTTATAGAGCCAATTTGGAGAAGCCTGTCTAGTAAATCCTTCATTGTACAAGTCTCTCACGATTATTTTATTACCCATATAGGGTAATACATTTTGATAGGGAAAAAATTAAACTATACCAGTCAGAACCCAGGAAGGAAGAAAGTTACAACTTAGCTCTGTGCTAAATACCTTTTTGTGCCTCACTCAGTAATGAGAGAGACTAAAACAGAGGCGCTAGTTCTAAAGCTTTATATGTCTAGGTGTTAAAAATGTTGTTCAATTATATAAAGCCATTCAGTTCAAATTTGAGCCTCAGAGCTGAGCCTTGGGTGGGTCCAGTTTAAACCTGTGATGTAAACAGAGGATATTTATTTATTTATTTTTATTATTATTTTTTTAAAGATTTTATTTATTTGAGAAAGAGAATATTTATTTGAGAAAGAGAATGAGAGAGAGAGAGAGAGCTTGAGAGGGGGAGGGTCAGAGGGAGAAGCAGACTCCCCGCTGAGCAGGGAGCCCGATGCGGGACTCGATCCCGGGACTCCAGGATCATGACCTGAGCCGAAGGCAGTTGCTTAACCAACTGAGCCACCCAGGCGCCCCTAAACAGAGGATATTTAAACCTATATCCACAGAACAGAATGTCTTACCTACACCGTTGTGGAGAAATATGAGGAAAAAAAATAGTTTGTACCAATTCATGCCATGGGTGGTCCTATAAGAGTGTGAGGACAAGGTCATGAACACAGGACCATGGCCATGGAGAACGCCCAAGACATACAAACAAGCAGTTCATTAGGGGCAAGCTTCAGTGGTCCAGGTCTAGCTTATTTTGCCAACTTCAAGGGGATGATGATCTCACACAGAAGCACAGTCACTGAAGTGAGCATGTTATTTAATCCCTTATCTGCTCAAGTCAGCTTTTTAAATATTTTAATTTTTTTAAGTAATCTCTACCCCCAACATGGGGCTCGAACTCATGGGGCTCAAACCCTGAGATCAAGAGTCAACATGCTCTACTGACTGAGCCAGCCAGATGCCCCAAGGTCAGCTTTAAATTGACCTGAGAAACAAAATACCAGAAGTGGCAATTTCTGGTTCTTGGATTACATGGCAATCCATAATATTTTTAAAAAATGAAATGTCTATTGGAAGCTCTACTGCTACCATTAAAAATAGATACTCATAATGTCTGCCCTCTTCTGAGAGAGAGTTCTCAGGTAAGGTGCAAGGTATTTCACTCTGAGCTGGCACATTCAGAGAGGGATCAGGAGATGCTAGTCTGTGCAGACTGCTGGAATAAGTTCCCAGCAGGTGGTTTTAGCTGTGACATGCATCTTTGGGGTGTAGGGGAGGGAAGAGAAGAAGGGGAACACTGGTCGTCAGCAGCAACAGGTGAGGTGATGCCCTAGGTCGGCAGGAAGGAGATGAGGCTGTCAGGGAAAGCGGGGAGCAGGGAGAAGGAAGGAAAGATGTTCTCTTTCCTTCTCTAATCACAAGCTCACCCATCCTCCTACTCGTGGTAGGCATTACCAGCATCTGCTTCTCTGCGGCTTCCAAGCAAACTGGAGGATTATACTTCCATGTCCCCCGGAAGTCAAGGGTGGTCATGTAACTTGCTTTGCCCAATGAAATGCAGTGGAAGTGATGTGTGTCAGTTCCTGGAAGAAGCATTTAATGACTGGGCTTGACTTTCCATCCTCATCTTCTCCTGCTTTTGCCCATGTGAATGTACCTACTGAGGACATGCCATAAGATCAAAGCAATAAACTATGTATTAATGAGGAAAAAACCAAAACCAAACAAATTTTTGTTACAGTAAAGCCACTGAGATTTCTGGGTTGTTCGCGTATCTTAATCCCATAATCTATCTTTGTTCCCTCTTTCTTTTTTTTTTTTAAAGATTTTATTTATTTATTTGAGAGAGACTCAGAGAGAAAGGGAACACAAGCAGGGGGAGTGGGAGAGGGAGAAGCAGGCTTCCCACCAAGTAGGGAACCTGATGTGGGGCTCGATCCCAGGACCCTTGGATCATGACCTGAGCCGAAGGCAGAAGACGCTTAACAACTGAGCCACCCAGGTGCCCCTGTTCCCTCTTTCTGACGGTCTGTCTCTCCCTTGCTCCTTTCTTGCCTCATCCCCTCATTTGATCTCTTCCTTCCTTTCTTCTCCCCTTTATTATTTCATTGTCCTAACTGAAAATAAAAAATATAATGTAGATTCCTATTCTTAATTTAAAACATGGATCAGTTTGTTTTTTGAAAAAGAAATGAGTAAATTTTTTGAATTAAACATCTCATATTTCTCGCTTTTAAAATTAAAGCCCTGAGGTGAATTAAAAATCAGGTTTAGCTTGTGTAAAAAAACGTATGCTTTGAAAACCTTACAATGTTATATACACATATGGGGTACTATTGTGGATAGGCCCTCAATTGATTTTCTTGTGTGGGTTAAGGGCTATCCAGAAAAATAGAAACAAACATAAAACTTCCCTAAACACCATGCAACAGCCATTTTAGCTCAAAAACCAGAGCTCCATAAACACTTAGTTTTCATTGGTAACTTTGTTACAAAGGCTACTGGAGCTGGAGCATCCAGAAGCCTGATCAAGACTAAAGGACATTTCAAGTCATCACAAAAACTACACATTTTCATGCACAATCATTCATGACATAGCATTTAGACCTGAGGTCACCGCACAACCCCAAAAGCTGTTTCGAGCAATTAAAGTCACTCTAGACAAAAGCAGGAAAATGCAATCGTGGCCTGGCTAATCATGCATATTTAACTAAACACAACAGATGTGTACTTAAAAAAAAAAAAATTCAACAAGCTCTGGTTTCAAGTAAGAACATGCTCTACTAGGTAAACATGACGTGGACTTTCAGGCCATTTTACACCACCACGGAGAGAGTTGGTGAGGGTTTTACACATAACCAACTCTGCAGAGATGAACTTGCACAGGGAGGGGAGGAAAACGTATATAACAGTTACATGAGTTCGAAAAGAAGACCATGCAAAAGGAGCGAGAATCCCCAAGTTCACTTACTGCCTGCTTTTGCTCTTCCTCCTAGAGATGTTGCAGATGAAGAAAAGGCAGAGGGAAAAAGGAGAGAGATTAATGCCCATCACCACAAACATCTGGAAGAAATGATAGAAGAATCTGGCAAGCCAGGCCAGGCCCCCAGGTTCAGAGACCAAAGGCCCTGACTGCCATCAGAGCACCATCAGCTGGACAGAGTGAACGGCAGGCCTCTTCCCCATCCGGTTCATTCAGTGCTAGCTTCTAGAGCTGGGAAACCATCTAATACAACTTCCTCATTTACAGACTGAAAAGGCCTAGAGAGCCTGACTTGCCCGAGGTCACCCAGCTGTTTAGGGTAAACTCAAAGACAGCTCCACGAAGCCTCAAAAGCCCAATAATCAATCTCGCCATCCCCCATATTCATGTGTGTTAGCTATATTTCTCTAGACCAGCAGACCTCAAAGCAGCAGCCGCACCGGGGAACTTGTCAGAGATGCAAGTTTGGGGCACCAGCCAAGACCACCTGAATTCAAACTCAGGGTGGGTGGGGCACAGCCAAGCATGTCAGAGCCTGGCAGCTAATTCTGATGCCTGTTTAGATTGAGAGACACCGCTCTAAAAACTTCCCCCAAACTAGCAATTTCACCTGACCACAGATTCCCTTATTTAGTCCCCTCCTCTCCACTTGCTTTTGGGCTGCTTTGTGGGTTTTTTTTTTTCCCCAAGGACGCACATGCATCCCCATTCCTCCAATAAATTGGAAACTGCTCCAGGGCCCTGAGAGGCTTTTGAAAAAGAACTCTTGACCTCAGTTTTTCACTAACTCAACACAGGTTCCTTTAGTATTTATGCATAAAGCACTGGAAACATGAAGCTAAGGCGTAGCCTCTGTCTTCCAGAGCCTTCCAGTGACCGTGGGCAGCGTGGGTACTCGCCAGCTCTCAGCTATCAGCATGCACCACTAGGAAGACGAAATAAACACTTCTGAGTTTCTCTCCCTCAGTCCTTCCCTCTGTCTTTTCACGGGTCTTTTTGCTTCTTCTTTCTGTGCCTCATCATGGGTAACTGTGGTCAGGGAGCCTTTGCTCTTTGCCTCAAGTGGGCAAATCTAAAAGCGGTTGCAATGGTTCTATTTAAATCGGATCCATCCGTGCAGGCCGTCTTCATTGAACATGTGTGTGGGAAGTCTTAGGGATAGACGAGAGCTTCTGCTTTCACAGAGTCTGCAGATCTGGGGGCCATGGCGAGAATGACTTCGGAAAGTCCCACCAATTACAAAAAGGAAAGAGGAGGTAAAAAATGTGGAAAAAAATAATTTTGTTCCTGCAAGGGAGAGACATGGACTAGGAATTAAATGGGCACCAAGAACTCTCTTAAGGAGACTCCAAGTCAGCACAAGAAGATGTTCTTCATAATCAAACCCAGCTGCTACATGCCTGACCATACGTATACTCACAGGAGCCCAAGCAAAGAGGGGCCCTGAGCATGAGCTGAGTTAGCCTTATGAAGTTAGCACCTTTTAGCTTTTGTATCTGGCATGTACGGCTCTGATTAGAAGGGATTCTAACTCTGCAGTTGGGAGGATATCTCCCCCTTCCTGGACAGGCTTCCCTGTAAGGCAGAACACTTCTTCCATTCACTAGCCAAGGCAGAGAGCCAAAGGAAGAGTTATTAAACAATTTAAAATGTGTTTTTATTCCTGGCACTAAGTGTTGACATGGACACTGAAATGGTGGGGGAGGGAGGAGGCAATCCTGACAGGCTGAAATGGCAGCTGAGGTCAGAAGACCAGGATGAAAGTTCTCAGAACTGTTTCTAAGACACCTCCCTATTTTCACTGTTTTTTCCGGGTTTAGTATTGGAGGTAACATTGCTTTGGCTCAACAGAATAAGGAAATTTCAGAAGGCAGTGTTTCATGTTTGCACATCTGGTGACTGCTATTGATAGTTTGTTCAAAGACATGACATCATTATAATCTGCAGTAATCATGTGTCAGGTTAGGACGGGAGGGGTGGACAGGGCAGCGTTTTCCAGAGTCAGAGGCCTTCACTGTACACTGGGATTAAAAAGGGGCGGGCTTTGACAAAGTGTTACTCGGGATGGTGTTACAGTATTTAAACTCACTGGAAGTTACTCAGATAAAGCCTTGAAGGCTCTATCAACACAGTAAACAGGTCAGATATAAGGTCTTGGAACCTTTTTGTTATCGTCAGCTGTGGTCAGTAAACACTGACTGATCGCAACTGGCCTAGGAGCCAAGCTGATTTAAAGGAAGTCATAATACTTTAACTAAAAAGTGCAAATCTAGAAGTGCTTATGTCACCTAAAAACATGTGAGACTCTTCCACATCACGTGGGGGATGTCTGGCTAGGTGGCCACAGTACTGCCATAAACATTGCAGTTATTTATATGAAAATTTATATTCTAAACCTCGTTCGCAAATAAGGGTGAAATCCAAAACTACAGAATTCACCTGGTGACTATGTTTCAAAAGCAATATTAGAAAAATGGAAAATGAGGCAGAAAAATACTGGGGACATGAGTTAGAAAGTGAAACACCAACATACAACCACTTCCAGATGAAATAAGTTTGAGACAGAGGTTACCTATACACATTAATCAGGGGAAAAATGTAAGGAAAAGATACACTCTGACCACGGGTACCTGGGTGTCAGTCTACATTATGTTATTAAGAAAACAAACAAACAAAAAAACTATTAAGAAGGTCCCTGATACTCCTTGGTGACGGGGACTAAATCTTACTCATCGCCAAATAGCTAAATGTGATATTCAGGAACCAATATTTTCTTGTTAAATAAATATATGATTACTTTTCACCCTGCCTTATTCCCAAAAAAGGACTTAAGATTATTGTTGAATGAATTAATAAGCAATGGTGACACTTCATATGTATGCTTCCTTAAATTATCATTTTTCAGATAAACAGACAATGTACATTATATTTCACTGAAGCAGTAGAAAGAACTTGCTGTGAAATGGAAATTTACTGTGTGGCATATTTTAATTTATGAGTATCCCAGACCATGTGGTTTGATTGTCCATTTGACTAAGTGCTTACAGCTGTTTTATGAGAGCATTAAATGCTAGCAGACTGAACATCAATGAAGGCAGGACAGTCCTTTGAAATTAAAACTAGGATTCTAAAGTGTACTTTTATTATGGGTTGGTGAATATTTTTTTTAACAGTAGGAAAACATCTTTGAAATTTTCATGGAAGTCAATGACTCCTACGGAGTGCGTGTAATATACAAATTAGGATTGTGCTATCATCCTTATAGGTAGCTGGACACTAGAGGCATGAGATTTTCAACTGTAAGTTCTAATCAATGGATAAAAAGACAACATTCCTGGTCTGTGTTGCAAATTCCTCCTCCCAGTATGAATGGCCTCAGCCTATCAGATGAGTAAACTCTAAGACATTTAAGAAGCTGGCAGGGGATTCTACAAACTGGGGCACCAGGATCCTGCTTACTTTACTGTAAGACAATAGCTAGAAATACAAAGAAACTCAGGGGTTGGTATCAGAGTTCTAGGCATCAGCCCATTCTGCTTAGCCCCTGAACACCAGCATTGGAAGTGAACTACAAAGTTAAGTAATATACATGGGGCTCTGAACCAGGAACTCTTAAGAAACATGAGGGTCACCCAGCTGACGAGAAAGCACACTGCGGTACTTTGGGGAAATATATTCTGACCTCCCTTCAGTTTGCATAAACCTTTTGCCTTTTACAAAAATTACCCTAGGGTACCTTCCCACCTATGTTTGGGGAATGTCTGAGAGCATCTTACTAAAAAAGGAGTTTGACCCAGGCAAGGGGTGGGTGGATCCATTTATCTCCTGACAGGGGACTACCCCACATGGCAGGGCTTTCGAAGCCCTACACGGCTCCAGATGTTACAACAGCCAAATGCATTTAAGTACATCTCTGCTGTCTTGAGTGGGTGATGGGGCTGGAGTAGCTGGATTCTTGACAACTGTTAGAGGGATGTGGGCCAGGTTTTATGCGTAAGATTTTCTTTAAACACTCAGATGGCTGAGCGTCTGCCTTCGGCTCAGGTCATGATCTCAGGGTCCTGGGATCGAACCCTGCATCGGGGTCCCTGCTTGGCGGGGAGCCTGCTTCTCCCTCTCCCTCTGCTGTTCTCCCTGCTTGTGCTCTCTTGCTCTCTCTATCAAATAAATAAATAAAATCTTAAAAAAATAAAATAAAAAAGATTTTCTTTAAACAAGACCCACTTAGACGTGAAATATTTCTCAGGAGAAATTCTGTTAAAAGGGTTAATGTAGAAACATGTCCCTGCAAAACCACCCAAATACCCAGGACCAAAGCTCAAGACTAAAAGAAGTGATTGTCTTGAGCAAGTCCCAAGTCAGTTTAAAACACAAACACTGCATTTACCCAAGCTGCTAATACCTCTAGCTTCATTATGAAGGGACCCGTCTGGAATAGAGAAGTAGAAAAAAGTCTCCAAGTGGATGTTTTCTTGAGCCACCACTCCTAGTCTAGACCCTTGTCACTCACTTCAAGCTAGATGATTATATTTGTCTCCATTTCTCCTTTAGTTCCTTCCCTCTCTAATCTGCTCTACACATTTTCCCAAACCATTATTTCCAAAAACTTCAATGACTCCCCTACCACAGGATTCAATCCACTCCCCTCAGCCTGGCTTTTGAGGTAATCCACATTGTATGATCTCCACTCTGGCTGCTAACTCTGTCCCACCACAAAATACAGTGGTTTACAGCACAGACACAGAGAACCAAGGAATTAGCAGCAGGAACAAATGTGCTCTGGTATTGCTGCTCCGTATCTGGGTAAATATTCCTGTTGAATGCCAGTAAAACTGTCTAGGTGAGGACATTTAAATGCCAAGAGTGCCTCTCTCTCCTCTGGGGCACAGGGTTTGTAATAAATTCAAAAAAAAAAAAAGAAAAAGATAGTGAGACCTGAATCATCCCAAAGTTATTTAAGCTCCAATATAACAAACCTAGAGCTAATATGCTATTTTTTTCCTCCTAATAAAGTTATTCATTAGAGTTAGTCTGATTAGCTTGGTTTCCTGCTGTAATACTTACTAAAATAGTTAATAATTGTTATGTATTTAGGTGGACTATTTGAAAACTTGTCTTAAGAAATTTTAAATCGTTGAGAAATTTTCATTTACATATAGTTAATATCCTCTTTACAAACCTTTATATTTATTCATATAAGCAACTACTCAAGGACAGAACTCTAGTTCCAGTTACTCATTTTTTATCATCCGGCTTCACACTAGTTTCGAGGAATTTCTGGAGTCACAGCTAACTTTAGGGACAGCGGCATTTCATCCTTTAGCTGAGTCCTGTCCTGACACCACAGGGGAGGCAGTGGAGCCGGTGGTGAAGGCGAAGGAGGACAGCTGAGCGGAGGGTGGGGAGGCGGGGCAGCGGGGAGCGGGGAGGCGCCAGGGCTCTCTCACCTTCAGCAGCTTCATCAGCCCTTCCAGCTGAACCATCAGCTCACGCCTGCTCTCCTGCAGTGCCGACATTCTCTGCTCCAGCTCATCTTTCCTCTGCCTGTCCGAGGGGAAAAGCCCATCAGCAAGAAAACTCTGAAGATAAAGGGATCTTCAAAGAAGGGTCCAAGTGTAGGTGAAACTGATTTTAGACCCGAATTCTGCTACTTACCAGGGTCTGATAAGCTGAGCAAGTCATTTAACCTCTACTAGTTAGAAAGTGGGCATAATATTTGTTTTGCTCTCTTTCCTTTACTGTTGTGAGAATAGTACGTAAAAATGCTTTGGAAAACACACAGTATAGATATGGCAATATAGAGAAAAAGTATTATTAATATTATTAATAAAGCAATTTAAAAAATTCCTCAGGAAGTCAAAAACCTCATTTAGAAAGATACATAAAACTAGTCCACATTTAAATCGGTAGTGAGAAAATGTATGAAAACTGCTCAGGGAGAATAGGGTTCCGTTGCTATTACTTCCAGCACCAGACACCAGCCTCAAGAGCGTGACTGACATTAGGGTGACTCTGTGTCTAAGAGAATTCACTTTTTCCTGAGGACAGATTTCATGTCAATTCTAGCTCAACATGTCCAAAACCAAACTTAAGACTGTGGTCCACAAATAGTTCTCTTTCCTGATTTCTTCCAGTTGTCATGGCTGAAAACTTCAGTCCTCTTTAATACTTTTCTGCTTATATCCTATTCTCCATCACCCAATTGACATGATTCTTTCCTAGAACTTTACGTGTCTTTCTCTCCACACATCTCTCACTTTATCCAGGCACACCTTACCTCACATGTGCAATGGTCTCCCATCCTGATTAATCCTGATTTCACCTGGTATGCTGAGGTGGAATAGAAATCAGGAGACTTAGGGCCACCATTTACTAAATACTACAAACTTGGCCAAGTCACTTACCCTGTAAGAGCTTCAATTTTCTCTTTGCTAAAATGGGACTAACTACAAACAGCAATGGCAATGTTTTGAAGATCAAATAAGATACTAGGTATGAAAGTGTTCTATGAACTTTACAATGCTGCTCAAAGACTGTTCATCATCTTATGTAATAATCTTAGTAGCATTTCTAGCATCACTAACTCTTGCCTTGCATGATCCATGCCTCATCTGTCCACTCTAGTAGCCACTAGCCATACGTGACTACTGAACACTTGAAACATGGGTATTCTGAATTGAGATGCACTGGATTTCAAAACCTTACTGTGAAAAAAAAAAAGAAAGTAAAATATCTCAATATTTTTTAATGTTGATTATATGTTGAAATGGTAATATTTTGGGTAAATCAGGTTAAGTAAAAGATAGTGTTAAAATTAATGGCACCTATTTCCTTTTAGTTTTTCATTGTGGTTGTTAGAAAAGTTTTAATTACATGTGTGGCTCACATTATATTTCTATCAGAGAATGCTGCTCCAGACCCCACCAACATTCCTATCCCTAGTGCCTCACCTTCTATTCCCTTCCATGTCTGGATGTCTAGTTGATGGTTCCTTTTTCCCTAAACAGATCCTATCATTTCACGACTCACAGCCATTCCCCCACTTCTTCCAAATGTTATTCACTCCTTAGTGTCCAACCCAAATGTCACTCTTCCCAGGAAGCTTCTCCTGATTACTTCAGCAGGTGTCAAGTCCTGCTCAATTAATCACCATAGCAATTGGTGCTTCTCTGTGGTACTTAATTTATTTTATCTTGCATTGCCGTCATTCCTACCATGATGCAAAATCCTTGAGGTGAGGGATGAGTCTTTGCATGTACTGAATGGTTAAGAGAATATCACACCTCCAGTATGTACTCAGTTAACATCTGGTGAAGTTACACAATTATTGTTTGAAATCCTCCAAGGACTTCCAATCACCTATCACTTAAGGCTCCCTAGAATCCGGTCTCAATTATTCAACTAATTTTATCTCATATCACTGGCACTTTAAAGATTAATGTAATGGATGCCTGAAACAAATTCTTAGCTCCAAGACTCCTTCCCTCCTCTGAAATGTATCATATAGTTATTTGGGGAATCATGCTGAACCCCAACTCCACTTCTAATCTGAAATGTTTTCTCCCAGGTTTTATCCACATCATCCCTACCTTTCATGGTCTAGCTCAATTTCCACCACCTCCATGGGTCTAACTGCTTCCAGCCTATATATGTGTATATATATATATATACACACATATACACACACATATATATATACACATACATATACACATATATGTATATATGTGTGTATATATTTTCCTTCTTATATTCTTTTTTTTTTTTAAGATTTTATTTTTTATTTGAGACAGAGAGAGATAATGAGCAGGGTGTGGGGCAGAGAGAGAGGAAGAAGCTGACTTCCTGCTGAGCAGGGAGCCCAATGCAGGGCTCGATCTCAGGACTCTGAGATCATGACCTGAGCCAAAGGCTGATGCTTAACTGACTGAGCTACCCAGGCGCCCCACCTACTTAGATTTCTTATGACATAGTGCCCATACTATTTAGTAACACTATATAATATTAGTTAACTGACTAGAAAATTATTTTACATTTATTTTCAAAACTATATTATAAATTTTTAAGATGGAACCATTGTTTTCTAGTCTTCATACTCTCTAAATTTCCAGTACAGTGCAGCTATAAATGCAATATAGAGAAACTGACTCATTCAGTTTTCTAGAAAGCCTTTCTTCCCTGAACTTTTAAGACTGGATGCAGTACTCTTTCCCTGTGCTGTGCATAACCAAGTCATTATAATATGTGGTGAAAATGAATGAACTCCAGCTACATGGAAGGATCCTGAAGCATAATACTGGGGGGCGGCGGGGGGGGGGGGAAGTTTCCACTATATGCATATAATAACATTTCTCGAAAGCTCAAAAAACAAAACACAAAACTAAACACTTCAATATGTGGGAATACACATATATTTGATAATACTATTTAAAAGGCAAAGGAATGATAAACCAAATTCTGGATAGAGGTGAGCTCTGTGGAGAAGGTGGAAGCAAGGAAATGGGATCGGGGGCACTTTTACACAACACGGTTTTAACAATATATGAGTAGATGTGGGTTCATGCGTATTCATTTTATCATTATACTTCGTATCTTACACATTTGTCATATATATGCTGTTGTCATATATGTCATATATATTTGTCATATATATATATTGGAAGCCAATGAATATGCCATTAAAAATAATAATCAAGGGGAAAAGACAACCCTGGTTGTCAGAATTCATGACAACTAATCCTAAGAATGCAATTCTCCATCTTCTTTTATTATACTAGCTGGGTATTGGCAGTTCCTGGATTCCTATATATTGGTCAAAACCAGAAGGATGTCAGATACCTAGGAATGAATCTTGCCCGTTATATGTCTTTTGATAAACAACAGTTCTTAATATGAATATAGATGAATTTACCAACTTCTTTCATGGTTAGTTAAGTGCCTGCCTTCGGCTCAGGTCATGATCCCAGGGTTCTGGGATTGAGCCCCATGTTGGGCTCCCTGCTCAGCAGGGAGTCTGCTTTTTCCTTTCTCTCTGCTCCTCCGCCGCACCCTGATCATGCTCTCTTTCTCTAATAAATAAATAAAATCATAAAAAAAAAAAGACATTCCCTACATTTTCTTCTAAAGTTTTAAAGTTTTGTCTTCATGTTTAATCCATCTGGTGGTATTTTCTCTATACAGTATGAAGCAAAGAGCCAGTATGTTTTGTCTGTATGCATAACCAATCGATCCTGCACAATTATGAAAGAGTCCCTCTTTCTTCAATGATAATGGAAGCTGCTTTTTAGATTATTTAAATACTTCCTGATTTCTCAAGAGTTAGACCCTCCTTGGATTTAGGTTAAATTCTTGCTTCTTGCTGCCTACATGACATGACACCACTGGACTTAGCCCTTTGCCTACTAAATCTATGATATTTTTCAGACCCCTCCAGCTTAATAAAGGACTTCTAGCAATCCCACTTCCAGCAGCAGTTAAAACTGGAGTAGAACCATTTTTGCTTTGCTAAATACAAAATAGTTACTTGTGCCTGAGCCGTGGTGGGGAAACAGAACAGTTGTATCTTATGCTGAGAGTTTGGAATTACACTGGGTTTGAGTCAGCAGGACATGTTCTCCCAGACTTCCTAGTGTAGCACCAACCTGCCAACATCCCAGGCATGCAACAGAGGACCGCATAGCAACCAAATCCTCAAGCCCAATTAAATACAGAAACTAAAATGAATTTTCAGAAGAATGGAAATCTCTATATCTCTAATGATTTTCATCTGCACAGTTTAAATTCTTTGTGACTTATTTATTGATGATATAAATCTAGACAGAAAGATAGTTAGAGAAAAACAATAATGTCCATTCTCTAGGAAAAGAAATCATGGTTGAGAAGCTAAATGACTAAGCCAAAGAAAAATTAAAAAAGGACAGCTATAAGTGGAATAAGTCAATCAGAGAAAGAAAATTATATGATCTAATTCACATGTGGACTTTAAAAACAAAACAGAGGATCATAGGGGAAGAGAGGGAAAAATAAAACAAGATGAAACCAGAGAGGGAGACAAACCATAAGAGACTCTTAATCATAGGAAACAAACTGGGGGTTGCTGGGGGGGGGTGGGGGGGGAGGATGGGGTAACTGGGTGATGGACATTAAAGAGGGCACATGATGTAATGAGCACTGGGTATTATATAAGACTGATGAGTCACTGAACTCTGCCTCTGAAACTAATAATACATTATATGTTAATTAAAAAAAAAAAAGGATAGCTATGCAGAATCCCAGGTGATAGCACATTAAAAATCAACTGTGGAATGTCAAATGTTACAACCTACACAGAAAGAACCCACTCTTTGGAAATTTAGAGGTCTGGTGAAAATCAAGTCACTTAGTGTCCAAAATGTCTTCACTTACCAAAGAGTACACACACATCTTTCTAAGACTGATAGGATATAAGACCCTAATAGCTTTGACTGGTTCACTTTCATGTTACGGTCTTCTAGAAGATTTCTCCATTTCCTCCAAAATAGCATCCGAATGGGGGCTGAAGCTGCTCTCTACCCCTAGTCAGATCCTGTGCCCTTTAGTCTCCCAGTCCTGAGACAGTTTGTATTTATGCTGAAGTGGGAAGATTCCACAGCCATGGTGCAAGGGACTCCCACTTGGTTTTGTGTCTGAGGATGCGTATAGGTAGCAAGCACCCTTCTCCTTCAAGAGTCCTGCTCCATGAGGCACCAGGAGAATATACTCATAGGACAGAAGAGCATTATTCCTGCCAAGAGTCTTTAAAGTCAGACTAATTAACAAGATAAGAAGATTGTAGCACAATGGTCTTAAAGCAATCACAAAAGTATAAACACTGCTCTGCTTGTCCTGGAGCTGGAGAATGGTGTTGACCTGGTTCTGTAATGATGGCTAAAGTTCTCAGAGTCATTAATAATGGAAGCCAAACACCTGAAGCGGTAACAGAATGAGTGGAATGCATTTGTTCTGACAGGACTAGTTATAGTGATAAACAGATTCTATCCCACTAGTTTGGTTCCCTGACACATAAATTCCTACTGTAGCAGATACTTACCTCAGCAGCCGCAGCTCTGCCAGCAATGTGGGGTTCTGCTGCGCCTTCTCGGGGGTGGGCTGGGAAGCCTGCTCATGCTCCAGACGGAGACGCTGGATCTCTTGCAGGATCTCCCTAGGGAGGACAGATGAAAGAAAGATGGCTGCACAGCTCGCTCTTTCCTGTCAGGACTTCTAACTGTAGTACAGTGGCCTCTCCCAATCTTGTTCTGTTTCCGAATGACCAAGATGTCAAAGAGCCACCTTCTTAACACTGCTGCACTTCATATTTCCTCAATGAAACAATCCTTTGTGGTAGAAAAAGTGATATAAATACTCTTCTCAAGAACTTGAAAAATCTCCACAAAAGGAAAACCACCACTAGAAAGCTCTGTTCCTTTCTAGGGAAAGGAAAAAAGAACTCCCTGCAACCTCCTAATGTGGGTCCTATGCTAACTTCTCCCGTCTTTGTCTCTCTTCTTCCTGTTGAGCTGCTGAATGATGAGAGCTGCCATTTCTTCTTCCTGTGCCTGTTACGTTACATCCAACTCCTTGTCCCGGTTTCTGCCTCTCAGGGCATACTGGTGTGCTGTCTGGTCTCCATGCCTTTAATTAATTAATTAATCTATTTATCTATTTATTTATTTATTTTTAAGATTTTATCTACCTATTTGAGAGAGAGAGCACAAGCTGCAGGAGCTGCAGGCAGAGGGAGCAAGTCCCTCCTTGCTCAGCAGGGAGCCTGATGTGGGACTCGATCCCGGGACCCTGGGATCATGACCTGAGCCGAAGGCAGACGCTTAACTGACTGAGCCACCTAGGCGTCCCTCTCTGTGTCTTTAAATGGCTTTGTGGTGAGAGACCAGTCACACACAACACAGTGGGCCAGGATAAGATGACTAGACAGAGCAAAAGGGGGTTGGAGTGGAAAACAGAATCATGGGAGGGGACCTGGTGGGTGGGAGAAGGCACTGGGGTAAAGAATCCACCTGAGGGCACGTAAGCAGGGCTGTGAGCTACCAGAATGTATAGCGTGCAGAGATCTACCGATTAGAGTAGGGGCATTCCCATGAGTTGGTCTGGCCTATATTCACTGAGGTGGGGTCTTTCTTTACAAAGCCAGCTAATCTACAAGGAAAATGAGAAACAGATACTCACATGATGATCTTGGACTTTAGAAGCTGGCTCGACCTCTGCACTTACCTGTTTTTGTTTTCTAGTTCTGCAATAAGCTGTCTTTGTTGTTTGTTGGCATCAAAGTTAAAGCTCAAGTCAGTGGGAGGACGGGTCTACAGTGAGGAGAAAGAAAGGGTTGTTTTTCTTTTTGTTTTTTTGGTGTGTGTGTGATTAAACTATATCCTGAGTCCTAGACTACTGATTTTTTAAAACAGATTTTTTAGGTATAACTTACATACCATAAAATCCACCTATTTTAAGTATACCATTCATGGAGTCTTAGTAAATTTAAACTGTTGTGCAACAATCACCACAGTCCAGTTTTAGAACATTTTCTGTCACCACAAAAAATTCCCTCATGCTGGTTTGTCGTCAATTGCCACTCTCATCCTCAACCACAGGCAACCACTGATAACTTTCTGTCTATAGTTTTGCCTTTTCTAGAAGCTTCATATATATGGACTCATACAATATGCAGTCTTTGGTTTCTGGCTTTCACTAAGCATGATGTTTCTGAGGTTTGTCACTGTTGCTCCATGAATCAGGAGCTCCTTCCCTTTTATTGCTGAATAGTATTCCACTGTTTCCAGTTTTTGACTGTTACAAATGAAGTTGCTGTAAATTTTCATTTACAAGTCTTTGTGTTGATATGTTTTTATTTCTCTTGGGTAAATACCTAGGAGTGGAATTCCCGAGTTATATGTTTACTCTGTATTTAATATTTTGAGGAACGATCCAACTGTTTTCCAAAGTAGCTGTACCATTTTAGAATCCCACCAACGAGGGACAGTTTCAATTTCTCCACATCTTCAACACCTGTCATTGTCTTTTGTTTTAACCAGATTCTAGTGCATGTGAAATATTTAATTTGTGGGGTTTTTTAAAGATTTTATTTATTGAGAGAGAGAGAGAGAGCACGAGGAGGGGGAGGGGCAGAAGGAGAGGGGGGGAGAGAATCCCAAGCAGACTCTGTGCTGAGCGCAGAGCCCAACATGGGGCTTGATCCTGGGATTCTGAGATCATGACCTGAGCTGAAATCAAGAAGTGTCCAATTCAGTGGTTTTTAGTATATTTACAAGATTACTTACTGCCACTAACTCCAGAACATTTTCATCAGCCCCAAAAGAAACCCCATACCCATTAGCAGTCATCCCCCATTCCCCCTACACCCACATCCTGACAACTGCTAACCTATTTTTTCCATCTATGGATTTGCCTATTCTGGATATTTCATATAAATGGAATCATACAATATGTGATCTTTTATGTCTGGCTTCTTTCAGCAAAATGTTTTCAGGGTTCATCTGTGTTGTAGCATGTATCAATACTTCATTTTTTGGGGGGGCTGAACAATATTTTTACATGGATATACCACATTTTGTTTATGCATTCAACAGTTGATGGGCATTTGGGTTCTTCCCATTTTTTGGCTATTTTGAATATGTTGCTATGAACATCTGTGGACACATTTTTGTGTACAGATAGGTTTTCATTTCTCTTGGGTATACATCTAGGAGTGGAATTGCTGGGTCATACAGTAACTGCCTTTTGAGGAACTGCCAAATTATTTTCCTAAGTGGCTGCACCATTTTACATGCTCACCAGCAATTTATGAAGGTTCCATTTTTTCCATATCCTTGTCAACACTTGTTATTGTACATCTTTTTGATCGTAGTCTTCCTAGTAGGTGTGAAGTGGTATCTCCTTGTGAATTCAACTTGCATTTTCCCTATGACTAATCTGTGGAGCATGCGTTCATGTGCTTATTGGGCATTTGCATATCTTCTCTGGAGAAATCATTTGTGGTTTGATTTGCATATCCACTGACATTCCTGACCCTTATTACCTCCTTTAAGAATATGGAAGCCAATCAACACAAACTAGGAAAAAGGATGCATAGGTGATGGTTCCCTTTTTTTTCATTAACCAGAATGGAAGCCCAAAAGGAAGGCTCTGCAATGGCTATGCTTTACACTCTGCACATACTTGGTTCTACCCAAAACATGACCTACCATGAAGCAGAAACTTTGTTTCCTATCTAGAGCTTAAAGATGCAATAAGTAATTCTTTTCATGTGGCACTTCCTAAATAAACAGGGGTAAAACAGCATAGCAAATGTGGGTGGGAGGCTTTTTTTTTTTTTTTTACCAAATACTTTTTTCTTAAAAGAAAAAAAAAAAGGTGATGTTTCTTCTTTTAGAGTGGACCAACAGCCAATTGAGCAAATTTTCTATATTCTTTCCAGAATCTTGTGAGAGCCAGAGCTGAGCCTCAGAAAAATGGCTTGCCTGAGACTGAATCTGCTGTGAATAACAGATTTCCAATTCCTGAAAACTGGAGTTAAAGCAAATGGCTCCTTATTAGCGTGGGATCAGGGAAAATTATGGATGAGGAAATGGGCTCTAAAATGAACTGGCTTCGTGATGGCAAACAAAAACCTCACAGTATTTTACTGGAAATTTCTTTTCTTTTTAAAAAAGATTTTATTTATTTATTTGACAGAGAGAGGGCACAAGTGGAGGGGGAGCGGCAAAGGGAGAGGTGGAAGCAGACTTCCTACTAAGCAGAGAGCCCTATGTGGGGTTCGATCCCAGGACCCCGGGATCATGACCTCTGGGTAGACGCTTAACCGACTTAGCCACCCAGGTGCCCCTTCATTGGATATTTCTAAAGAATTTTTTCAGTTTTCAGTTACTGCAAGGCTGAGGCTTCTTTCAAAGAAGAGGTTAAAACAGGGATCAAGAGTTATTATCAGCAGCAATTCCTAACCAGGTGAGATTCTTTGGCACCAAGAAGTATTGTTACTCAAGTACAAAGAAGCGTGGGTGGAAGAAGATTTCTATCCTGAGGCAGCAGTTCCACTGGGCTGACAACAGGGAGAGCCCCCAGGGGTAAGTGTTTATGATGGCTTATTTCACCCAATCAAATTCTGAACACAGTCAAGTGTACATTAAGTAACAGAGAAACATAGGAGTTTATTTATTTATTATCTTAAACTCCACACTGCTTCTTTTATAAAAAAAAAAAAAAAAAAAGAAAGGCAGGCCAGGTCTCTCTTCCTAAAATGCCTCGAGGATACTGAAGAGAAAAAGATAGAAAGGGAATTATTAGTTCATAAAGACATAGAATACTTCGACCACAAGAGACCTAAGAATGATTTCTTTAAAAAATTAACTAGTTCATTCCTTTATTTAGCAAATATTTCCTGAGCATCTACTATGTGCTAGATACTGTTCTAGGAAGTAGGATGCATGAGTGAGTAAGATACAGCCCCACCCTTGTGTAGCTACATGATGCTGGGAGAGAAAGCTAAGGAACCAAAGATCTAAGTACAGACCATCAGAGGTGATAAATTCAATGATGAAATATAGGGTAACAAAACAGAGTAAACTGAGACAGAAGACTGACTCTTTTTGAATGAGGTGATAATGAAAAGGCTCTCAGAGACTCAGTCAAGTGGGGAAGCAAACCAGGTGCTGGGCTAAGGGATGGGTGTGCTGGGCAGAGGCCAAGGCCTGCAGCTGCTCCATCTGGGTGTGTTCGGGTCAGTATGATGGAACAGAGCAGGCTCTGGTGAAATTGGTAGCAGACTCTAGGAGATGACCCTGGGCCCCGACCACCAAGGGCCTTTTAGTATTGGAGAGTTTCCATTTCATTCTGAAAGTGGTATGAAGCCACTGTAGGATTCTGAACAAGGAAATATGGACTCAAGTCCAAATACTGTAAGTACATACTCTGCCTTCAAGGAGATGGAGCTTATCTCTCAGTCCTTTAGTACAGGCTATCCGTAGTGACTTCTTTCCAAAGAGGACAGTGTGGAAAGCGGGGAAAAAGTAACTTTATGTTGGAGAAACCTGACAAACACTACCTTGGCCAGGTGATCAAGGTCAACATCAACGGTGATAAATGATGTTGGTACTATGTACCCTCGATACAATGGAAGAAAAATGGCGCTTACCTCATCCTCAAAAGCTGTAACTCAAGTCTGATCATGAGGAAAACATCAGACTAATCCCATTTAAGGGACATTCTACAATGTATTCGACTAGTACTCCTCAAAGCTGTCAAGGTCATCAAAAACAAGGAGAGTTAGAGAAACTGTCACAGCCCAGAGGAGACTAACAGACATGACAACTAAATGTAATGTGCTATCCTGGATGGAATCCTGCAGTGGAAAAGGGACATTAGATAAAAACTAACAAAATCTGAACAAAGTATGGACTTTAGTTAATAATAATGCATCAGTATTGGCTCATTAATTGTAATATGTGTGCCATGCTAATATGTTAATAATAGGAGAAACTGAGAATGGGTTATTTGGAAACTCTAGTAGCTTTGCAACTTCTCTGTAAATCTAAAACTGTTCTATAATAAAAAGTTTATAGAAAGTGAACCCTGTTTTGGCTCCTATATAATTTACCATAGTGAGCGAAGAATGGAAGTAGATAGGCTAGCGAGGAATCCTAGGTTTTGCTATCTACTCACTGCAAACCTTGAGTTATTTTATTTCCCTATATTTTTATTTTCTTAGCTGTAAAATGGGAATATTTACAGAAAGATATGTGAAGAGGATCAACTCCTCTGTTACATGAGCATTCTCTTAGGTTTAGGTAATCTCACAGAGCTCTCTCATCTTTAATGAGATGGAAATACATGTGAAAAATACAGAGTAGGGGCGCCTGGGTGGCTCAGGGTAGAAAACAAGACCCTTTCGGGTAAAACTGGGCAAATGTTACAAAACCAAGGAAAGCCGACGTAGTCAGCAAACTATAATCTGGTAGCACGCATTTCTGAAACCTCCTAAAAAAGGACTGGAGGCTTCCCATCTGTACGAACTTGGCAGGATGAGTTCCAGAGATATGCCTGATACCAGCTAGGCTTTCTTTGTATCCCAGGGGCACGCCGCACCCTCCCATCTCGTTTAGACCAAATGGAGGGCTGTGGATTATTAATCTCTCTCAAAAACCCAATGTTTTTTAGGGTAGTGGGTCCCTAGCTAGCTGTAAATCAGAAGACTGAAGTTTTGCTTTTCCTTTTTAAATAAAAATCAGTGGACTCTAAACACAGAGATTCTGATTTAGTAGGCTGGAAGCAAAGCCAAGGATCTATTTTT